GGCAAACGGCAGCTTTGAGGCCCATAGAAAGTCATTGCTGTGGATCTGAGGTGCCTGCTGGGGGCGGTGTTTGGAGGGTTTGGCAGGTTTTGGAGGGTTTGGAGCGTTTGGAGGGTTTGGAGGGTTTGGAGAGTTTTGGAGGGTTTGCGGGCTGGCAAACGGCAGCTTTGAAAGCCTAAGAAAGCCAGCTTTGAAAGCCCATAGAAAGCCATTGCTGTGGCCTGGCCCTGGGGTGCCTGTTGGGGAAGTGGCCTTGGCCCTAGGGTGCATGTTAGGGAAGGTGTTTGGAATTTTGGAAGTTTGGATCCTTTGCAGGCTGGCTAACTGCAGCTTTGAGGCCCATAGAAAGTCATTGCTGTGGCCCTGGCCCCCTGTTAAGGCAGCTTTGAAAGCATCAAGAAAGTCATTGCTGTGGATCTGAGGTGCCTGCTGGGGACGGTGTTTGGAGGGTTTGGCGGGTTTAGGAGGGTTTGGAGCGTTTGGAGGGTTTGGAGGATTTGGAGAGTTTTGGAGAGTTTTGGAGGGTTTGCGGGCTGGCAAACGGCAGCTTTGAAAGCCTAAGAAAGCCATTGCTGTGGCCTGGCCCTGGGGTGCCTGTTGGGGAAGTTGCCTTGGCCCTAGGGTGCATGTTGGGGAAGGTGTTTGGCATTTTGGAAGTTTGGATCCTTTGCAGGCTGGCAAACGGCAGCTTTGAGGCCCATAGAAAGTCATTGCTGTGGATCTGAGGTGCCTGCTGGGGACGGTGTTTGGAGGGTTGGAGCGTTTGGAGGGTTTGGAGAGTTTTGGAGGGTTTGCGGGCTGGCAAACGGCAGCTTTGAAAGCCTAAGAAAGCCATTGCTGTGGCCTGGCCCTGGGGTGCCTGTTGGGGAAGTTGCCTTGGCCCTAGGGTGCTGGCCCTGGGGGTTTGGAATTTTGGAGGCGTTTGGAGCCTTTGCGGGCTGGCAAACGGCAGCTTTGAAAGCTCATAGAAAGTCATTGCTGTGGCCCTGGCCCTGGGGTGCCTGTTGGGGAAGCTGCTTAAGGGTAAAGGTTTGGAGGGTTTGGAAGAGGACAAGGTCCACACCTGCGGTGGTCCCAGGCGCCGCCCCGGCCTTGGCGAAGGCCGGGGTCGGCGGATATACATATATATATATTATATACATATATATATATATTATATACATATATATATATATGTATAAAATTTCATGTTTTTCCTCATTAAACCCTTTCGATGGTCGTTTCCTCTGAAAACGATTTTGTAAGGCTTCATCCCCATGTTTCCTAGTTACCCTCTGGTAAATTAACATAAATAACTATGGAAAATCACAATTTTCAATGGGTAAATCCACTATTTCAATGGCCATTTTCAATAGCTATGCTAAATTACCAGAGGGTAATTTCCCGTTTATCATGGATTGTTGGCTTTGGCTCACATCCTACATCTGGCATTCCAGCGCTCCCAGCGTCCCAGGAGCTTTGCAGAAGGCCATGGCCATGGCTACAAAGCCAGAGAAGGACCGACAACAACGTTGTTCCAATCGGGGGAGATCAAGGGTTTAGAGTTTGAACCACAAAAATCGCTGCGATTTACCCTCTGGTAAACTAACATAACTATGGAATTTTACAATTTTTCATGGGAAAATCAACTATAAATGGCCATCTTCAATAGTTATGTTAAATTACCAGAGGGTATATAACATGATTTATCACTATTTACCATATTCAGGCACCAAAATTTTGGGCAGATTTGGGTGTATCAACAGCCATGGCTGGTTTCAATCATCGACCGCAGGGGGCATGGTCAGAAAATCGGGGCTCGGCCATGGAAATTTCATGAGATTCGAGATACGGTGGTGACCAGGTACCCTCTGGAAAACTAACATAACTATGGAAAATGGCCATTTACAGTGGATTTTCCCATTAAAAATTGTAAAATTCCATAGTTATGTTAGTTTACCAGAGGGTATTTGGTAGAGAAATATTGGGATTTTTCCTTTTCTGCCTAGAATTTTGGTGAAAAGACACAGAAACAAATTCTTGGTTGACCCAAACTTACAGTAGTTGAATGCTAAGTCCTAAGGTACGTAGACATTGAATATATAAACGACATAGGAATAGAAAATTACATACATACATCCATGCAATGCAATGCATTACATAACATTACAGTGCATTACATTACATTATATACATTACATTACAAGGTGGGGCCCCCCAGTTATAAGTTGGTTTATAACCCCCATGAATACTATAGTTATAAGTACCATAAACCATAGTGAAATGGGAGTTATAAACCAACTGAACGCTATCTTGGGGGCACCACCTTGTACATATATACATCAGACATACCCTCTGGTAATTTAACATAGCTATTGAAAATGGCCATTTATAGTGGATTTTCCCATTAAAAATGGTGATTTTCCATAGCTACGTTAAATTACCAGAGGGTACATACAGATATTGGTTTCATCTCCACAGCTTGTCTCCAGCGCCTGGCGCGTTCCCTCAAAAATCGCTGCAGAAAGGCTGTTCCCAGCATAGCTTCCACCACTCCAAGGCGCGCGGAATGGCATGGCGTGATGGGTTTAATGAACACAATCCATAGGAATTGGGTTTTTTTCACCTCAAATTTCCAGAAAAAAAACCATTCAAATCATTCGTCCATTCCGTTCATGATTCAATTGAGAGACACTAGTGCATGTACCTCCAGGTCTGCAATACAATAAACCGCAATCCAAATTGAGTCTTCTTTTCAAGGTTTATTCAATTCATTGTGATCCCAAGGTTTACACATCAATTCATTCATTCTTCCTGATCTATTCATGGTGATAAATTTATTTCCTCTGATCCGGACCTTGATTTTTCAAGGTTTCCTGATCTGGCTGATCCGGACCCAAAATCACAAGTCGAATCCACTTCGAATCCAATAAAAGAATACACTTAGCCTCTGGTAAACATTTACATAACTATAGAAAGATCCAGCATTTTGAATGGATTTTCCAACCAACGAACTCAATGGGGTACACCGTCAATAGCTATGTCACAAATTACCAGAGGGTATATCCATCAATATCCCAGTATTATCCCATGATTATCCCATTATCATCCCTATAAACCATATGAAACCATAGGGTATTTCATGGTTAATAACTATATTGACATAACCAGAGGGTATATCCCATTATATCCCATTAGATAAACCATCAAATCACCATGGCTTCACTGGGTAAATCCACTATGAATCGACTGGGCCATGGCTTCAAGTTCGCAAAGTGTAACTTAAATAACCAGAGGCAAACTTTCCCATTCAGAAATCCCCATGATTTTTTTGCTTCAATACCTATGAATCACCATTAAAAATCCACTATTTCTATCCCCATGTTCAAATTACAGGAGGTTATCACTGATCAAATTTTCATCGGCCATCGGTTCCGAATTTTTCGCACTCCGATCACTCCGTGACTCCGTTTATTGGGATCGCAACAGGCCGGACTTCCCCTACAACATTGAGTTCCGGGCGGAGAACTTTCAGCTCTCGCAGGCATGGCTTGGTTAGAGAAATGGTGGTCTAGCAGCTAGTCAGAGCAACTTTGGTAGTCAAACATGGCTTAGCTATTGAAAATGGCCATTGAACTCTCGTGGATTTACCCATTTTCATAGCATGGTGGATCTTTCCAGTTCGTTATGTTAGCCCGTTTACCAGGCCGGGTAGTCAAACATACGGCTTGCTGGATGGGTTCCATCCATGAACATCCAATGTCCTGATGGGATTTTTTCGAAACTCATCGGGGCTTTGAGAAAAGTATGTTTGATCGAGGGTGTTTACCCTCTGGTAATGACTGACATAGCTATTGAAAATGGCCATTTATAGTGAGTTTTCCCATTAAAAATGGTGATTTTCCATAGTTATGTTAGTTTACCAGAGGGTACCCTTGGTGATACATACTGAGGAACCTTTCCAGCTGAGAATTGAAAAAAAAAACAGAGTATCCAAGATCAGCCGTACAACCAAGATCGAAATTTTAGCTTGTAACACATTCACTGTGGAATGTAGAACTTGCATCTACAGCACATCTCCAAGCCAAGGTCCTGTATGCAACTTAACCCAATCTCCAAGTAGTCTCTGGTGAATTCACGATTTGGAAAAGCCACTGACTGTCACTGTCACTGATCATTTTCCGAACAGGACACCATATGGGTTTTCCACATCAAGGTCTGTAAAAACCCCAGGGTTTTTTCCCGAGCTGGGCAATTCGATCATGTTCGATCACCTTCCGCAGTTGTGGATCCGTTTGATCGAACATGTGGGTTATCAACATCTAGTTTTAACAAAAACATGGAAAGAATGAATCAAGTTCTATACAGCTATCTAGCTTCATAAAATTTTCAAAACATTTTTTATTTCAGGCACATGATATCCTGCTGGATTTCCGAATCCTGGGACACTCCTCCAACGTTTTCACCGAAGCATCAGTTGGAGTTGAAGCGGAAGACCAGTTACGACGTGGCCGGGGGCCCTCAAATCTTCGGGAGATGTGGGGAGATCATGGGGAGATCATAGGAAAACCTATATATGTATATGTATATATATGTATGTATGTATATATATATATGTATATATATGTATGTATATATGTATATATATATATGTATATATGTATATATATATATATATGTTGTCAATCCAGCATTCACATGTTCCAACCCTTTGCATCCAGACAGCCTGGTCACCCTTGAGAAGTTCCGTATGTGTGCTGACAATGCGGCCCAAAGCGGGTGGGACGTGGCGGGATCGCTTCGAGCCATGAAAACAAGCGTGGCCGCTTGAAGTCTTGGGATTGGCGTGGCAGCCATAGGAATTTCATAGAAGTTGGCAAGGACGCCATAGGTATCAAGGTGAGGACACCTTAGGTTCACAGGTGGGCCCGTTACCAATCAATTGAGATTGGTAGCGGAGCCCTGGCCGACATGTCAGGGCAAGCTACTATACCTGATGGGGCAACAGCTGCTTCAGGTGAAGGACAACGCGACAGCGTTCAAACTCAGTTGGCGCAATTGGTGCCGACGTATGACCCGGGAGTGGATAGTGTAGAGACATGGAGTCAAAAGATTCGACTGTTGTTGCAAGCTTGGCCTGAAGGTAAACTGGTTGAGTTAGCCACTCGTATCGTGCTCAACACCAAGGGTTCAGCATTTCAGAAGCTACAGCTTCACCAAACTGAAATTTTCACTGGTGACCGCAAAGGGATTGAGACAATTGTATCACTGGTAGGAGGTTCATTTGGTCAGGTAGAGCTGGAGAAACGTTTCGAGATTGCTGAGAAGGCCTTGTTCAGGTGTGTTCAGAAGCCGGACGAGACAGCAGATTCGTTTTTGGCCCGAGCCGATGTGGCTTGGACAGAACTTCTGGCGAAGAAAATGTCGCTGGCCGAATTGCAGGCCTACATTACTCTGCGGGGTAGCCGATTGACAGGGGAGGACAAAAAGCGAATTCTGGTAGAATCAGGGGCAGAGGACTCTGGTGAATTGAAGATGACACGTGTTTCTGCTGCAGTTCGCATGTTAGGATCCTCTTTCTTTCAAGAATATGCTTTTGGGAAGAAGGACAAGTCTCTCAAAACATATGACAACACTGCATTTGTGGCTGAAGAATGCGATGATCAACATGATGATGGTTCAAGGTTTGGAGAGGATTGGTATGAGGATGAGATTGATCCTAGCTTACATGATGATGAAGACGCAGCCTTGATTGTGCAGTTCGAAAATGCAGTAGTCGACAGTGTACAGGAAGATCGAGAATTGTCAGCCTTTTTCTCGTCATACCAAGAGGCCAGAAAACGCCTTGTGGAGAAGACTCGCTCTAGAGGTTTCTGGAGTAGTGGCAAAGGCAAGGGTTCGTTTGGCAAGAAAGGTTTTGGCAAGCAAAAGGGAAAAGGGTTTCGATCCAAATCTCTGGCACAAAGGATTGCTGAGAGCGCCTGCCGACGCTGTGGAGCGACCGGTCATTGGAAGGCCGAGTGCCCTCTGAACAAAGCCTCGAACAGTGATGGTAAGAATGTGGTGCCCACCTCAGTAGTCATAGACCATGAAGCAGCCGCCGTTGCCGTTGTCGAGCCCAATGATGACACCGGCATAGCCAGCTTTCTGGATGACATGGAACCATGGCACGACCCAACTGAAACTCGGAACAACATGGAATGGTGTTTTGGGGTAATAAGTGGGATGTCAAGGGGTAATCGGTTTACTGAGGGGCTAAAATATAAACTGTCAGGGGTGATGTCCAACACGCCCAGGAAGTTGTCTCCAACAAGTAAGCTGCGTGAGAGCCGACCAACCCTGGTCAAGCCGATTTGCCAAGTTGATGCATCCGCCGAGTGTCACAGCTTGTTCTGCTCTACCGGAACCACCGGTGTTGTCGATCTAGGTGCATCACAATCAGTAATTGGTAGTGACCAGTTGAAAGAATTGTTGGAACAGTTGCAACCTCAGATCCGAAGCCAGCTCAAGCGCCAACAGGTAGACCTGATTTTTCGTTTTGGCAATCATCAGACTCTGCAGAGCAAGGTGGCAGTTCATTTTCCTTTGCATGGACAATGGTTCCGTGTCGCAGTGGTGCCGGGTAAGACACCTTTCCTCCTCTCGAGCAATTTCCTGCAGACCATTCAAGCTGTGATTGATGCCAGTGAATGCACACTTTGGAGTAAGGTCCTCAAGCGATATATCCCTGTGTATCATAATGAAAAGAACTTAATGATGATGAATATAAATGATTTATGGGGGAAAACGCAAGAGAGCACCATTTGCCAAGCTGAAGCACAGACACCAATGGCAGGTCGACCGACTAGCTCTGGTGATGAATTCTCCATGAAGGGTGCACCCGATTGCCTTGTGAACGGAAAGAATGAGAGTGAGCTTCAACAGTTGGAAGCCGACGTAAGGTCATCATGTCAAGCCCATATCACCAAGGTAGAAGGCAAACAGGTCCATGAAAAGCAGTGTCAACCACATCGTCAGCAGGGATCAGAGTCAGAACCAGCCCAGCCGTCTGCGTCAGAAAGATCGTCAGCAGCATCCGGAAGCTCAAACGTGTCTCCCTGTGCAATACCGTGCAAGCCCCGACGCCATGGCCTTGCACAAGCAGTTCCAAGCTTACCTGGGAAAGAACCAGGTGGAGGATATCGAGAAGATTCCTTTGGCCACATTGGCCGAGACAAAGATCGATTTTGGCAAGGCCAAGGTCAATCAGACATTTGCTCAGGCCTTTCAAGACAAGGACTGGACCAACTACATGCTGACTCGTTTCGAGGACAGCGAGAAGCTGTCTCATCGCCGTTTCTTCCAGTATGTCAAATTGATGATCCAAGAGGATTTCCCGACCTCGACAAAGAGTGTCAAGACCAAAGAGTGCAGCAAGAAAAAGGAGGAGAGTCATCGAATCAGTCACAGCATGGCCAAACCAGTGGACGAGGAGGAGGATTCCGAGTGGGAGCAAATGTCAGGGATCAAGTCAAACCAAACCGAGATGGAGAGCCGAATGGGGCGTGTGGAAGAAGCTCTGGCACAGGTGATCTCACACCTTCAGCAGCTGTCGACACAAGGACTTCTGATTCAGCCAAAGACCGAGTCATAGGACAATTCAGCCTAGCTGCCGAAAGTATGATTGCATCCCAGAATGATGGCAAGGGTTGTGAGGAAATACCAATTGAACTGATGGACTTTGAATTTGCGTCATCAACCAACGAAGTTCCCACTTTTCACAAAGAGTGTCAAAGATTGATTCAGAGTCTTCGCAAAGAATTGTCCAGTGTTCAACAAATCATCAAGCCAACAGGGAAAAAGATGAAGCTTTATGAAATCATGTGTGGATCCGAAAGTGAATTGACAAAACAATGTCACAACCTGGGAATGCAAGCACGAAGGTTTGGGATGTTTTCTGGCGATCTGAGCACACCATCAGGTCGAAGAAAGTTGTTTGCATATTTGTGTGCGGAACAGCCAGAACATGTGTGGTATTCTCCTGAGTGTGGACCATGGTGTCGATGGTCAGCCATGAACATGTCAAGATCGCTGGAAGCCTTACAGAAGGTGTTGGATGATCGGCGACAACGCTTGTGGCAAGTAGCTCTTGGGGTGGTTTTGTGTGAACATCAAGTAGCAATGACAAAGCACTTTCACTTGGAACAGCCTGATGGATCAGCCATGCTCAAACTCCCATGCTTAGGTCCTTTGCTGTCAGTAGCACACCCAAGCGTTTTTGACCTTTGTAGGGTTGGTAAGTTGCAAGAACCTGTCACTGGGATGCCGATTCGAAAACGTCTTCAAGTGTGTACAACATCAGTGGAGTTGAAACAAAATCTGGATGGGCAGAAGTGTCAAGGGTTACATGAGCATTACCAAATCGCTGGGAGCACCCAAGTCAATCATCAGAGCATGTCAGTGTCAAAGTTCACCGAAAACTATCCAAGAAAGTTCGCTAGGCAGGTATGTCAAATTTTGCAGAAGCGAAATCACCTGCATCCCAATGAAGTTTTGGCCAATGAAGTCAGTGAATTCGGACCGGAAGATCATCCCACCAAGCGCCGTCGCTTGGGACAGAAGAGCTCACCGATGCAAATTGTGCTCCGACATCCAAATGTGCAATGGTTGGATGTCATGAAAGCTGTAGATGTTGCCGCACCGAGGGTCGGAGTTGTCGTTTGGGAACAGGGAGAGATTCTGGAAGCTGTTCGAACGTTGTGTCCCAATCATGTCGTCCGTCATGTGGTGGTTTGTCGTGGCACTGATCGAATGTTAGGTCCCAACACTAGACTGATTCCCGGAGAAGCACCATGGCGAAGAATGATCTGCATTCGTAGGCGGTTTGAAGATGTTGTGGTTGAGCCTGAATGGGAGAATTGGGAACGCCTGTCTTATCGCCAACTCCGCCGCAAGAGTACAGCAGCCCGCTGTAACATAACCATTTTTGCCAGACCAAAATATGAATCCTGGCCGGAAGCCAGTGATGTGGCGAAAAATGATGCTCAAAATGAACAATCTGCAGTGAAAGGGGCTTCTCACAAAAGAGCTGGCGAGGGTTCAAGTGTAGCTGAAGATGAGAATCGACTCAAAAGAAGTCGTGGAAATCCGTTGGCATCCGAGGCCGTGCTGCCGATCTCAGAAAGGTTAGAAACAGGTACTGATGCAGGTGAGAAGTTAGATAGGATAGTAGTGGACTTAACATGTCAAAAACATGGACCCAAGTTCCTTGAACTATCTCCTGAAGAACAACAATGGCTTCTAAAGCTGCATCGGAACATGGGCCACCCAGGCCACCAGAAACTGACATACATGTGCAAGCAGCTTAATTGCGATGAACGAATCCTCAAAGCTGTACCAGATATCAAATGCTCAACATGTCAGGAATCGCAAACACCTACTATTCCAAGACCCAGTGCAATCAAAGAACCACTTGATTTCGGGGACATTGTTGCAATGGATGGCATCACTTGGACCAATGCTCAAGGGGCTCAATTTCATTTTTATCACATGATTGATCACAGCACTGCATTTCAGAGCGCCTATTGTGCCCCTTCCCGAACAGCTGGAGATGCACTCAGAGCTCTTACAATAGGTTGGATGTTGTGGGCTGGACCACCTGGTCAATTGATTTTAGATGCTGCCGGTGAATTCTGTGATGACACTATACAAGACTTTTCACAGAAACATGGAATCAAACTTCGTATTATTCCACCGGAAGCTCACTGGCAGAATAGTCGTTGCGAACGCCATGGAGGGATTTTACAACAAATTCTGACAAAGATGGATTTAGAAGATCCCATTACGTCTTATGATCAGCTTGAACAGGCCTTGGTGTATGCAACTCAAACAAAGAATCAGTGGTCCAGACATCGTGGATATCCACCTGAAGTTTTGGTTTTTGGAAAACTTCAGAGACAACCTGGTTCAGTTGTCAGTGATGACACCTGTTCAGCACATGAGTTGGCCAGAACTGACAGTCCAGAAGGCATCCGCTTTAGAGCAGAATTGTCCAGGCGGGAACATGCACGTCAAGCGTTTGTCAAAGTGGACAATGATCAAGCCTGTCGGAGAGCTCTCCTTCAAAGAACAAGACCTAATAGGGGACGATATCAACCAGGAAATTGGATAATGTTATGGAGGGATAATAAGAGATGGATAGGTCCTATGAGGGTAATCCAACAAGAAGGAGATACATGTGTGTGGACAGTTTTTGGAAATCGACTTTATCGTGGAGCACCTGAACAAGTCAGACCACTGTCCGCTGTAGAAGAAGTGTCCCTCGAGAAAACATGGTCCAATCCAAAAGAGGAGAAACCGATAGGTAGGCCAGAGTTGAACGAAAGTTTTGGTGACATGCCTGCTCCAACGCAAGGGGCAAATCCTGAAGTCTTGTCGCAGCCTGGTTCCAGAAGAGATTCCACTGAGCCTGAACCATCAATTGGCAGTCCTTCAATTGTTAACACCGAAGACCTTGAAGAGAACATACAACATGAAAATGATCACATTGAGATTCCTGTACCTGACGATGATGATGATGAGCTGGTTTGTGAAGCCTTACAGGTAAATAGTGATCAATGCTGGTCGATGCAAATTGAATTGGATGTCAATGAGATCTCAAAGATGTGTCAAACTGATGAGGAAGAACAAGTAGCACTTCTTGTGTCGGCCGCCAAGAAACAACGTAGTGAGATCAAACTTAAAGATCTGTCAAACGAAGACCGCAAGTTGTTTGATGCTGCCAAGAACAAAGAGTTGCAGTCATGGCTTGACACTGGAACCATTCAGCGAATTTGCAGGCAACAAATCCCAAAGGAGAATGTGCTTCGCTGTCGTTGGTTGTTGACATGGAAAGACATGGGGGAGATCAATAAGACCACGAAAACTCCAAAGGCCAGATTGATTGTATTGGGATATGAGGATCCACAACTTTGTGAACTTGACAGAGATAGTCCAACACTATCCAAACTGGCAAGAATGCTCATTCTCCAATTTGCTGCAAGCTCTGGCTGGGATATTGGAAGCTTTGATATTCGCACTGCATTCCTGCGAGGGAGTGATGATTCTCGTCAGCTAGGTTTAGAACCTCCGCCTGAACTGCGCACCAAGATGAAGCTAGCTGATCATGAGATTGTACAACTCCTCAAAGGTGCATACGGAAGAGTTGATGCTCCGCTTTTGTGGTTTCGTGAATTCCAAAAGGGATTATTGGAGTTACAATTTACTCAATCTCCCTTTGACCCATGCCTCTTTACACTGCAGGACAAGAAGGGCAAAACGTGTGGATTGATTGGCATACACGTTGACGATGGGCTGTGTTGTGGTACACCTGAATTTCATGCAAAACTGAAGTTGCTTGAAGAGAAATATCCTTTTGGCAGTCGCAAAACCAGAGACTTCATTTTCACAGGGCTACATATTCAACAACATCAAGACTATTCTATTACAGTGGACCAATCAAAATATGTAAAAGCCATTGAACCAATACATGTACAACCTCAACGTCGACATGATCCTCAACAACCTGTGACTGAAGATGAGCGTCAACAATTGCGTGGGCTAATTGGAAGTTTGCAATATGCCTCAACAAACAGTAGACCTGACTTGGGAAGTAGATTGTCATTTCTTCAGAGCCAAATCAATCATGCTGTTGTTCAAACTTTGATGGATGGAAATCGAACTCTACAAGAGGCCAAGAGACATGCAGACACAGCGTTGCGAATCCAACCGATACCACTGCATGAGATTCGTTTTGTATCTTTCTCTGATGCGGCCTTTGCTTCCAACAAGAATCACTCCTCTCACAAAGGAATGCTTTTGATGACAGCACATAAAAGCATTGGAGAAAATCAGAGTAGCCCGGTCAATCCAATCCTGTGGTCCTCTCGCAAGATACAGAAAGTAGCAGTGAGCACGCTGTCAGCAGAGGCAATGGCCTTAGCAAGTGCAGTTGATACCTTAGCCTGGGCTAGACTCTTTTGGGCATGGTTAGTTGATAATTCATGTCAATGGCAGTTGGGTGACCAAACCTTGTTGCGCCTTCCACCTGCTTTCACCGCACTGAAAGATGAAGACGATAGCGATGAACCAAATGAGTCCTTAATGCGCACTCATGAAATCAGCAAAAAGATGAGTCTTGCCGAAAGTATCATCAGCACTGATTGCAAGAGTTTATATGATATAATCAGTAGGACTGCGCAGCCAGCATGCTCAGAATTTCGTACACTGTTGCAGGCCAAACTGATCCGAGAACACTTAGCAACTGGTGTGATGATTAGGTGGGTTCCAACTGGGGCCCAAATGGCAGATTCATTGACAAAGATTATGGACAGTACGGTTCTCCGAGAGTGTCTTCGTCTTGGTCACTATAGGTTGCAGGATGAAGCCCAAGTTCTCAAGACCCGAGCCGAGGCCAAAACTCGCATTCGCTGGCTTCGTGGGACGGAGTCTAATTCAAAGAGTTCTGAGAAAAGCCAAGTCGTCTCGGAAACCGATGCATTTCAATAGGAAACCTGCTCGTAATAATAACTTGTACACATAATCTCAAATAAGTTGATTTATCAAGCAGTCTACGACTTTTGAAATAAAGCCGGAGATTTTTGAAGCTTGATTGGCAAAGTCTGGAAGATGCACAACACTTGGATGGACATTGAGATGTCTGACATGCGGGTTGGCATGATGGGGTTCAAGTGCATGACAAGGTCAAATTTTGGTGCATCTGCCGAAGTCGTTGGTTTGGAAGTTTTGGAGTTCTCTCTGAACATGACGAATGCAGGAAATTCTTTCGAATTAAAAGACTGGGAGTGTCAATCCAGCATTCACATGTTCCAACCCTTTGCATCCAGACAGCCTGGTCACCCTTGAGAAGTTCCGTATGTGTGCTGACAATGCGGCCCAAAGCGGGTGGGACGTGGCGGGATCGCTTCGAGCCATGAAAACAAGCGTGGCCGCTTGAAGTCTTGGGATTGGCGTGGCAGCCATAGGAATTTCATAGAAGTTGGCAAGGACGCCATAGGTATCAAGGTGAGGACACCTTAGGTTCACAGGTGGGCCCGTTACCAATCAATTGAGTGTTTATATATATAATTATATATATATTATAGATATACAAGCAACTTGATCGGATATTTGGGTGTGAAACCTGGAGATTTACTGCAGTTTTTTGCAAGTCAAATGTACATTTTCTGGATAAACCCCATTGACAAAGCCATTTCCGAATAAGTGATGTCATCCAATGGACTGTTCCTTCAGAATTCGTCATCCCCAGACAGAGAACGACACTCGGCGTATTTATGGCACGAAAAAAGAGGGAGGTTTTCCATAGATAAATCACGACATTTTCTATCCTGAATGGGGTTACTATGCTGTTACTAATCTATCCTTACTATTGTAAATCGGTCCTTTAAAAACCACCTGAAATTTCATCTTAGAGTCTCCAAGGTGCTTCTGTTGAAGATTACCAAGTGGATCCACATGATGTATGGCGACGTTGGAATCGAGGTCTGGAAGATTTTTTTGGGACCCAATTCTTTGTTTACCATCATTTACCCTCTGGTAAACGTTTACATAACTATGGAAAGATCCACCATTTTCAATGGGTAAATCCACTATTTCTATGGTCATTTTGAATAGCTATGTTTGTTTACCATCATTTAACTGCCAAGAAATGGGGGTATATACAACATTCCAAAAATCCGGTTGATCATCCAATTTATTGGTAAAAGCAGAGGGGAAACCTGCAGCCCAATCTTGAGAAGCACACGATGTGGATGCTCCGAAAAGTGTGGAAGGATGTTTCATCACTTTCAACCAACAAGCAAAATGGGAAGTTGAGGTTAATCACCTTCACCAATTCCGATCATTTTCAACCATCGCCATCACAATCATTCTGATTGGCCTCACCATCACCATCACCCTCACCACAACCATACACAGAATTTCACGTTAAAAAGAAAGCCGTATCACTGTCACCCTCGAGAGTCATACAACATTTTTGATTCGGCCCTATTTATGTTGTGAACGGCTGCAGAATGTCAGGCACCTCATGGCACCTCCATGACCCAGCCGCGCCGCGGTCCAGGAACTCTTCACCAAGTGCCACGAGTTGCTGCGCCTGGGAGGTCTATTGATCTTGGAGGCACGGAGCTAAGAGGGGATGGAAAACGGGGGAAATCTCCCAGTTTTCAGCCATGGATGGTCATCATTTTCCCCGTTTGAAAAAATCTTGAAAATGGCCAGATTTATGGTGTTTTCCTTTCAGACTGGCAGCCAGATATCATGATAACCATAGAGAAAAACATGAAAAAACACATCCATATCCAGAAGGAGGGTTAACTGGATACATCTCACGTGAAGTCCCAAGATTCGGATGAATTCAGTTGGGTTAGCCGCAACAAAAATCGAGACCTGGACTGTAGGATTGAAGATGTGCGGCCGAGTTTTTATCATTCTCACTCAACTGTTCATGGTTTTCTTTGGGCTACCCTCTGGTAAACTAACGTAACTATGGAAAATCACCATTTTTAATGGGAAAATCCATCCACTATAAATGGTCATTTTCAATAGCTATGTTAAATTACCAGAGGGTAGCTTCTACACCATCAGGGCCTTCGGAAAAACCCGAGCTTTGGGCGGGTTTCTTCCAACTCCAATCCCGCTGCAGCGCAGGCACAAGGCTGGCATAAGTATCTGGAGAAGAAGCATCAGCCCCCCAAAAGGCGTTGGGTCTTCCCAGGATTCTCCCTGGGAATGGAACCTTCTGACCTGGAGATTGATATGTTGATGTGGAAAAAGCATGAAAAAGCCAGTGATAAAGCACACTGAATTTGATCTTGGAAGGGATTTTAGAATATGCCCCCCACTCTTTTCAACTGTTTGGTAAAGTTATCGCAACGATTGCAGCTTGGGGCCCGGGCTTTATTAAATTCTCCTAGGTGGTGCCCATCTCAACTTAATGCTTCGACCTGATCGTTTCAGCGAACTCTTGGCCCCTCGGTTTTTACGCGGAGCACACGGGGCACGGGCAAACAACATGAGAGCATCAAGAACTCACCAAGTATTGTCGCCCAAAAAAACTCAACAACATCTTCATTTCTATCTCTGAAGCTTTACTCCTTGGCAATTCCTTTTTTGGCCCCTGGCAAGAAACTTCGTAGAATACGCCCTTTTTCATGGCTGCATGGTAAAAGACTCGGCTGTTCACCTGGATTTAGCCTTCATCAACCCAAGAGGATCCAGAGGTGTGAAAAAACATGGGAAAACCAACGAATCCGATGGCTTATCATCGTTTTCCACTCTTATTTAGTGGCAATTTTCCCTATGAAAAAAGCATAGGGTGTACTCTGGTAAACCCAGTAATCAACTAACCACAATTTCACCAGAGATGGATGGTTGATTGCCCCAAAAAAGATCATAGTGTTGTTGAAATACCTGATTATAACCCCATTCATCTCCCATTATACATTGTTTTGTATACATCCCCAGACATATCCATGAAAAAAAACCATGATTTTCCAATGTTTCATGGTGAAAAAGCTACGAAAACGCGCAGTGGCTGGCCCCCAACCAACCGGTTGCCGGGTTGATGATTAGTTCGGGGATGATGCGTTCAAAGGCATTTTTTCTATAGTTGTGAAGATTCGACTATGAAATACTAGAACTATGGATCTTATTTGTAGAACCTAACTCATCCATATAAATATGGATCACCATTCATTTTCTAATCATCAAATTATTTATAATATATTAAGTTCTTCTATAGAACTAATGCTTAACTTGATATATTATAATATAGAATCAACCATATGGTTATATATCATTTTGATATAATTACTATATTACCTAATTAGTAATAGAACTAATATCAAACATTAACCATTCGTTATAGAATCTGCTATTATATTAACCAGATTAGTTATATTAACCATTCCATTTATTATTATTAGCAAATATTAACCGTTGATAAATAGAACATTCAATATAGTTAACTAGATATCTATTAACTATATGGTTAAATATGGTTAACTACCATCTGGTTATTTAACATAGCCATGGAAAATCACCATTTTTAATAGGTAAACATAGGTACACCATCTATAAATGGGCCATTTTCCATGGCTATGTTAAATAACCAGATGGTAATGGTTCATATCTGCTCAGCAAACTCAGGGCCATTTTTCGCGTCGAATCTTGCGTCGTTTTTCCAATCGGTGAACTCAGGGCCAGCTTGGCTTTGAGAAGCAGACCTCCATGTGTCCCAGTTGCCTTCCGTGGCTCGTCTTCTGTTAAATATCCATTGATTGTACTATCTGCCCATTGAAACAATGGATATGGATTTTATAATGATTCAATGGGATATTAATGGGATATACCCTCTGGTTAAACAAACATAGCTATTGAACATGGCCATTTATAGTGGATTTGCCCATTGAACATGGTGGATCTTTCCATAGTTTTGTGTATGTTTACCAGAGCGTACTGGAGATATGATGGGTATAATCTTACTGGTGCGTAAATTACCGCAAGGTTGCTGGATGGGTTGCTGGGGGTTGCTGGGATGATGACAATAAAAAAGTTATGGATTGGATAATTCCCGAAAATTCCCTACGTTTAGCACCAGTAAGTTTTATTGTACTATCTAGGATAGTGACATATCCAATACAATTCTCAATTTTTCATATCTAGGATATGTATGAATAATCTAGTTTAAAGAAAAAGTATGAGAATAGTAGGACCCAACATGTAAGGTTTCATTGTGAATGTATTGATGTTGTTTATATATATATATTGTATGTTTAGCCAATATATCATTACTATTCATACTGCTGATGCATGATGTTGAAAATTCGATGTTCTAATAGTCATATCGCTCATTGTAACTTTACTGATATCGGTTATCGGCTGATAGATATTATTCATGTTTAGGATGTTTATCTCTATCTATCATTTGTTTACTATCACAATTATTCTTCTTCTGATTGTTATTTTTTCTCCTTATTTTTATCGTTTTTGTGACTTCGATTCGATTCGTTCATCATTATTATTTTGTTATGATATGTTATCATCATTATGTTCCGCATTTTCAAGCCAAACACACATATTTTCCTTTGTGGCAACCTTGTCTTCTTGTCAGCTGACTCAGTCCCGTACATGTGCCATGCCACGCGGAAAATGTGTTGAGAGGTCAGTCTGACCACGTTGATGAGAATCATGAGACTGTTACTTTAGGTACCAACATAAAACAGCAGACTCTGAGAAACAAATACCCTCTGGTAAACATACACAAAACTATGGAAAATCACCATTTTTAATGGGAAAACTCACTATAAATGGCCATTTTCAATAGCTATGTTAAATTACCAGAGGGTAAAACATGGAAGTCTGAAAGCCGAAACCTGGTTGCCTTTTTGGAAACGCTGATGGCTGCTGTTCCCAGAGTGTTCCCAGACGTTTTCAGCCGAGGGACGCGGTGGTGGTCTTCCGAAAAGTGACCAAGACTCAGGTCTGACGGGCCAATGAATCGATGATTTTTTCAGCATTCTTAATCATACTCAAGAAGTATTATCAACCATCATTAAGCACAATTAATTCAATTAAGTATAGTTCAGCATCATTTATTATTTATTGACCACAATTAATCATTATTAACCATCATTGAACATCATTAAGCATCATTAAGCATCATTAAGCATGATAAAAAAAACCATGACTAACCATTGTTACCCATGTTTATTTTTTTCCAGAAATCCAAGGTTTTGGACGGAGACTCCGTCCAATCCTGGGCTGTTTTTTTCGGCCACAGACGGGCTGTCACCGAAAAACCGCAGCCCCTGGTGACCTGGTGCAACGCGAGGCGGAAGTGCCAATGATGAAAGAGCTCTTCCAGGCGCCACATGTCAAGCCTTGGACATAGATGCCGATTTTCGATCCAGTTTTGATGGTTCCTAGTAACCTAGTAGGAATATCATGGGAATGTACTGGGTATGTTGTATGTGATATTTGATGTTGACCATAGACACGGAACAACATATTGAAATAAGCTTGGCAATGTAGAAACCCACAAATGATGACGGATTTGTTCTTTTTCACCTCCTTCTTGAAGCTGCTGTTGATGAGTAGATGTGGTTGGAAGCTAAAAGTTAAGGATCCGAAGTAAACAAAAAAAGAAAGTAAAACACAGCCAAGAAGAACGGGGATTCTTAGATGTGTACTGTATGTCAACAAGTAGAGATGTAAAAAACTTACGCACCAACCATGCAGACTTTAGATATCATCCTCTGTTTTATCATTGTGTCCCCTTCAGATTGGACCGAGGGTATTTTTTTATCCAACTGACTGGTGAAGTGAATTGCATATCGCATGACTATCTGACTATCATGTTTTTGTCATCCCATGTGCTAAACCCAATGCCATCAGCCGTGACAATTTTGGATGGTTTATGGTTTGTACAAGTTTGTTGCCCCTTTTTTTTTGGGGGGGGGGAAGATTCGGGATTTCTATCATTTATTATTGGCTTTAGCACATTAGGAGGGTAGCCCCATTTTACTCACTGCCAGAACCTGCGGACCACATTACCAAGGTAGCTTCAACAATGGTACCACATTAATGTTCGTAAAGCAATCCACCCATATTTTGATGGTTGACATCCCACCCACTTACAGTGTGATGACTTGGGGATGGTGGATCCTATTACTTTAATCCCTAATGATTATCACGGATTAATGGGATAATGGAGCAATATTCCCATTCCATCAGGATGCATTGAAGTCGTACGACCTGGCAGTTCTTCAATGCTTGGAATCTTGTTGCACGGGAGCACTTAGGCCAACCTCAACGAGTCGCTGCTCGCTGCCGACCATGTTGCTCTCCCACCGCCGCATTCCCTTCACCAACAGATTTGTCTTGGGCAGTGGATAGAAGCACGGCCGCCCAACTTGCCTCGGCCTTCTCTGGGCTCGGCCATGAAGCTTTCAGAGCGCATCCCCAACTTCTTCAAAAACCTGGAGCAGGTGCTTGGCTGCAGGCCCTGCCAAGTGCTGCCCTTGGCCGCCATGTTGACAGCGTCCTATTCCGCGTCATGGTCCGCCTTCCGCCTTCCTCTCCATTCTGAAGATGTGCCCTGCCGTTTTTTGTGAGGGGTTGTGTGATATC